AGATGAAAGAGTGGGAGAGGCACTGTCAAGAAATTTTAATGAAAATAAGAAAAAATTTTGGAGTGAGTTAAACAAGTTAAGAAAGCCTAGGGAAAGTATGGATTGTCAGTTAAAAACAGAGTAGGGAGTTAGTAGATGGGGAGAGGGAGGTATTAGGTAGATGGCAAGAATATTTTGAGGAACTTTTAAATGTTAAGGAAGAAAGGGAGGCGGTAATTTCATGCACTGGCCAGGGAGGTATACCATCTTTTAGGAGTGAAGAAGAACAGACTGTAAGTGTGGTGGAGGTACGTGAGGCATTACGTAGAATGAAAGGGGGTAAAGCAGCTGGAACTGATGGGATCATGACAGAAATGTTAAAAGCAGGGGGGGATATAGTATTGGAGTGGTTGGTACTTTTGTTTAATAAATGTATGAAAGAGGGGAAGGTACCTAGGGATTGGCGGAGAGCATGTATAGTCCCTTTATAAAGGGAAAGGGGACAAAAGAGATTGTAAAAATTATAGAGGAATAAGTTTACTGAGTATACCAGGAAAAGTATACGGTAGGGTTATAATTGAAAAGAATTAGAGGTAAGACAGAATGTAGAATTGCGGACGAACAAGGAGGTTTCAGAGTGGGTAGGGGATGTGTAGATCAAGTGTTTACATTGAAGCATATATGTGAACAGTATTTAGATAAAGGTAGGGAAGTTTTTATTGCATTTATGGATTTAGAAAAGGCATATGATAGAGTGGATAGAGGAGCAATGTGGCAGATGTTGCAAGTATATGGAATAGGTGGTAAGTTACTAAATGCTGTAAAGAGCTTTTATGAGGATAGTGAGGCTCAGGTTAGGGTGTGTAGAAGAGAGGGAGAATACTTCCCGGTAAAAGTAGGTCTTAGACAGGGATGTGTAATGTCACCATGGTTGTTTAATATATTTATAGATGGGGTTGTAAAAGAAGTAAATGCTAGGGTGTTTCGGGAGAGGGGTGGGATTAAATTATGGGGAATCAAATTCAAAATGGGAATTGACACAGTTACTTTTTGCTGATGATACTGTGCTTATGGGAGATTCTAAAGAAAAATTGCAAAGGTTAGTGGATGAGTTTGAGAATGTGTGTAAAGGTAGAAAGTTGAAAGTGAACATAGAAAAGAGTAAGGTGATGAGGGTATCAAATGATTTAGATAAAGAAAAATTGGATATCAAATTGGGAGGAGGAGTATGGAAGAAGTGAATGTTTTCAGATACTTGGGAGTTGACGTGTCGGCGGATGGATTTATGAAGGATGAGGTTAATCATAGAATTGATGAGGGAAAAAAGGTGAGTGGTGCGTTGAGGTATATGTGGAGTCAAAAAACGTTATCTATGGAGGCAAAGAAGGGAATGTATGAAAGTATAGTAGTACCAACACTCTTATATGGATGTGAAGCTTGGGTGGTAAATGCAGCAGCGAGGAGACGGTTGGAGGCAGTGGAGATGTCCTGTCTAAGGGCTATGTGTGGTGTAAATATATGCAGAAAATTCGGAGTGTGGAAATTAGGAGAAGGTGTGGAGTTAATAAAAGCATTAGTCAGAGGGCAGAAGAGGGGTTGTTGAGGTGGTTTGGTCATTTAGAGAGAATGGATCAAAGTAGAATGACATGGAAAGCATATAAATCTATAGGGGAAGGAAAGAGGGGTAGGGGTCGTCCTCGAAAGGGTTGGAAAGAGGGGGTAAAGGAGGTTTTGTGGGTGAGGGGCTTGGACTTCCAGCAAGCGTGCATGAGCGGTTAGATAGGAGTGAATGGAGACGAATGATACTTGGGACCTGACGATCTGTTGGAGTGTGAGCAGGGTAATATTTAGTGAAGGGATTCAGGGAAACCGGTTATTTTCATATAGTCGGACTTGAGTCCTGGAAATGGGAAGTACAATGCCTGCACTTTAAAGGAGGGGTTTGGGATATTGGCAGTTTGGAGGGATATGTTGTGTATCTCTATACGTATATGCTCTAAACTGTTATATTCTGAGCACCTCTGCAAAAGCAGTGATAATGTGTGAGTGTGGTGAAAGTGTTGAATGATGATGAAAGTATTTTCTTTTTGGGGATTTTCTTTCTTTTTTTGGGTCACCCTGCCTAGGTGGGAGACGACCGACTTGTTGAAAAAAAAAAAAAATGTAGTCACTGAACACGTTCCTAGAACTGCTGCAGCTTGTGGAACTCTTTGAAACATGGGTATATGCAGAGTGGCACTTGACACTCCTCACACATAAAACGAGTGTCTCTGCGTGTTTGTGGGCGTTTTGTGGTATGTGTACATACATAACACCTCTTCTGAGCATTTTTCTTGGCAGTAGGAGGAGGCAGTTGTATGGGGTAGTGATCAGCAGGCCTGAAACGAGATGGCGTGTGTTGGTAATTTCGTGGGCGCTGGTCTATTGCAGGTGTTGCTCCTTGGTACTTTGCAATTATTTGTCTGATTACTGACAAACAAAATTCACCATATTTTGGTGTTTTGTTGGTCTTCAACTTGTATATGTTATAAGCATTTAGCATAGAGATATCAACAAGATGGAAAAAAAATTTTATATACCACTTATAACTCTTGTGTACACAATCTGCAAACCCAATCTGCATGTCACATTTGTCCACTAAGCGCATATTGAGGTTGTAGTCCATGACAACTGCAGGCTTTAGAATGGGCTCATTGGTCTCTCTGTTGTGCCTGCCACTGTGTGCCATTTCGTTTGGGTGAACTGATGTCAACAATGTGACATCACGTGTCATGCCACCGAAATGCCATGATGTCATTGGCAGCAAAGGCTTGCACCTCACCTCTGCGAGTGCCAGCGTCGAACCTTGGCATATGTTTACGATTACCATGTACTATGCCACACACGTCTGTCAAGTTCACTCGCAAGAAATCACTGAGTAAGGGGCTTGTGTACCAGTTACCAGTAAATAACATATGCCCCTTTCCAAGATATGGTTCCATCATTGTTCTAACCATATCACCAGAGATACCCAATAACTTCATGGTATCTCTCAAAGTATTACTGCCAGTGTACACAATGATATCCAAAACTAGACCACTTCTGCAATCACACAGTACAAATAACTTTATACCAAAGCGTTTCCTCTTGCTTGGTATATATTGCTTGAATGAGAGTCTTCCTTTGAATAAAATCAAGGACTCGTCAATAACAAGCTTCCTGAAGGGATAAAAATGCATGCAGCACTTTTGTTTCATGTACATAAACACATTTCTGATCTTATATAACCTGTCGGTTCTGTCAGGCCTGGTTTTGTCTGAAAAGTGTAACATATGTAACAGTATCAGGAAACGATTGACACCTATAATGTCACTAAAACCTGGAGTTGAAATCAGGTGTTCTGTTGCCCAGTATGTGGTGACAGTGTGCTTATACACATGTGGCATAAGCATTATTGTGCCAAAAAACAGGTACATCTCTGCCACAGTTGTCTCCTTCCACTGGTGTAGCCGTGATTTTGGTGAGAGAATTGTATTTGCCATGGTGTAATCATAGTATGTGTTTGTTTCCCTGACAATGATGTCCATCAGGGGTTCATCGAAGAATAACTCAAAGCATTCCAGTTCACTAGCATTGTTCCCAAGTGGACATGATGGCTTTATTCCACTTTGTGCTTCATCAAAGTCATGGGGACTGGGAACAAACTTGTCACTGTCCTGCCAATCCCAGATGCGGTCTGGGATTGGTTTTCAAAACCATTCATCACAGATGCGGTCTGCTGGTGGGTTCTGGATATTGTACCGTGGTTGTGGTTGTGCAGGTTGTGAGAGTGTGGGGTCGGGTGAGGCTGGTTGTTGTGCAGAGTCGGCAGCGTGGGTAGTAGCGTGGCCCGCTGCTGGTGCCACATGGGCCGTGCCACCATCACTATCACCACTGCCTGCTCCCTCACTCACATCATTCATACCCATCGTAACAATATCGTCATCTTCACTATCAGGTCATGGTGTAGGGCCACGGGATGTGCTCCCAGAGTTTCTCCTTCCCCTTGGAACAGCATATGAAACACTACCAGACCGCATGATACGTCGTACATACTGCCGCTTCACTGGGGAATATTCAGCCTCACTGTCACTAGAACTGCTTTTAATGACCTTGAAATCACTATCACTATCACATTCACTGCTAACATCTGGGTGTTGTACACGACGAAATAGTTTTCTCTTTGATCCTGGTACAGGCAAACGTGAACGTGAACAAGCCGACCCAGCACCAGAGGTGGAAGGTTGTGGGTCATCTGGGTTTTCATCACTAATCACGTTATCCTGGGCACTTTTTCCGGTCACACTCACTTCAAAACCCCGGAATTCACTGTCACTGACATTTTCATCGCTGTTAGAGCTATCACTTGGGAACAAAAGACCTCCAATCCGCCGAGGAGTGAGGAACTTCTTACCGAGAGGCATGGTGAAAATGGACTACCAAGATGGTGTTCCCACAATGCACCGCTGGGTCCCAGATTTTTTTCACAGGGTGCACACCGACCACTGAGACCCATTCTCTTTCATGTAGGCCTACCAGGCCTTTCCCACTCGATTTGAAGCCGCTAGAATTTGTGCATATAAATATGTCAGAAACAGTGGCGTGTAAGACGTATTTATATGGTGTAAACAGTCAAAGGGTTAAATGAAACCATCTTGCATTATCATATACTGACTCTTTCAATCATGATTAGAACATAAAAAGTGGTCTTTTTGATCTGAAAACCAAAAAAGTGAAACTTATTAAAACACTCAAAATTTATTGTCTTCATGAATTCACAGGTGACTGGATTATCAGTCTAGACACCTTAAAGAATCACATTCTGCTGAAAACAATTATGCACCAGGTTAAAAAAAAAATTAGCTTTGGCAACAAGACTACTATATTTATTTATGAACATATTATTAATTTAAAATAAATTCATTAATTATTATACAATACTCCTGAAGGTCTGTAATTCAAATGCTCTAACAAATAAGAAAAATATATATCATACCACATACCTAAAGTCATCATTGCAATCTTGAAACCCATTCCATGTGAGCCCAGCAGATTTGCTAGTGGAATTTCACAGTCCTCAAAAATTAGATTACATGTTGAGGATCCACGAATGCCAAGCTTATCTTCTTTTTTTCCTAAGGACAGGCCTAAAAATACAGTAAAGAAAAAATAAGTGCTGACAAGTTTGCCTTGCAATGTCTTGTTAGTCACTGAAGTAGAAACACCATCATACATACATACATACTCATGTGTACATACTATCAGCACGCCTATCTCTGCCTTTGTCGAAGATCCTATGTACAATATTCTTTTAGCCAATGGACATACCCATATTTAGAAAATCATTAAAATTATTATGCTTGCATACTTCTGGCATAACAGCTATTGTAAGAATAATGGTGAATGTGTTTATTTCTTTGGGTCATTTCGCTTTAGTGGGAACATCAAAGAGGTATGATAAATATTTCCTTTGTCTATGGGATCTATTACAATGGGGGTTTCATACAACCTAACTTTAGCATGTGATAAGGATTTGGTGCATTACAATTATTATTATCACAGTAAACGCCATGGGGAGGTGGAGAAGAATCCCTCCTCCGTAAGTTATGCATGTTGTAAGAAGGCGACTAAAATGCCGGGACCAAGGGTTCTCCTGTATAAATTACTAATTGTACAATGGAGAAAAACTTCCATCTGTTCTTTTTTGGGATGCCTTGCCTCGGTGGTGGATGGCTAGTGTTTAAAAAAAAAAAAAAAATACAGTAAAGGTTTGATAAAAGGGACTAAGAAAGGGAGGGGGTGTATGATTTACTAAAAATTCTGCAATACTGAATGTTCCAATTAAGCGGATGTAGTATGCTTAATCAATCAACTACTAGACATGGAAAAATGCCCAATAAAACATAATTAATCTGCTGTATTGATAGACTACCAGACTTACTAAGAAAAAACAAATAAAATACAGTCTTACCTGTAAATGAACCTGAAAAGAAAATGGGTTAAAAGTACAGCAAAGTAAAATACAATTGAGTACAGTACAGTAATTTTTCTTACCTTGTCTAGTGAGCAGATGAGCTTAAAAATATACATTACAGTACAGTATTCCCATGTGGTCTAGTGGTGACCCAGAATACCTTATTCTAAGTCATTGGAGCAGTAAAACCCCAACTGCAACATTGTAGATGGTGTGGGAGAGAGACAGGTATGTGGTGAGGGAGATGTAGATGGCTCAGGCTTACTGACATAAGGCCGGGAAGTTGGCACTGGATGCTCACGGCTACGTGGAGTCCTGCCGCTTGCAGATATATTGAAGATATATCATTTTTTTTATAGTATATCTTGGAATTTCATAACCAACTGTTGTTCAAACATAAATACTATTAGGTATGACAATAGTAATCATACTGTTACAAAAAAACATGAACACAATGACAGGTGAATATGTACACCTGCCTCATTCACATATTATTGTCTACAAATATATACAAGTTATTTACAGGTCCCGGCAATGTTTTTAAAAGTCCTGGATAGAATGATACTCCATGAAGCATGGTATCATACAGAGTGCCACCTCACATTTCTGACACATGACTCATGTATCCTTCTGCTGTTGGGGTGCTTTGTGGTGCAGGCACACACAACACACCTTTTCTGAAAATACTTCTTTTTCTCAATAGATGGTAGCTGTATGACAAAGTGATAGTAAAAATTCACCCCGGTACTTTCCTCTCTGGTTGTGGGTGAGGGGCAGGTCACTGTTGAGGTGCAGGTAAAGATGTGACATGGTACTTTTTTACTATCTACTTTATGACACTGAGGGTGAATTCTGCATATTATCACACCACATCAGTGCCATGGTGTCAAAGGCATGAAACACTTGCATTGTACCATCTACACTGCTTCCAGTGAACCTTGGCATATGTTTTCTATTTCTTCTCACTGTTTCATACATATCAGTATTGTTCATATGGAGGAAATCAGTGAGCATAGGACTTGGATACTGATTGTCTGTGAACTATGTATGACTCTTGCCAAGGTATGGTTCCATTATCTTATGAATAACATCACCAGAAATGCCCAATGTCTGTCTGGTATCACTGATTGTTTCTCCCAGTGTAGACAATGACATCCAATACCATGCCATTCTCAGTCACACACAACAAAAAAGTTTTATACCAAAGTGATTACGTTTTCTTCGTATACATTATTTTAATGACAGTTGTCCCTTGAACAGAATCAAGGACTCATCAACAACAATGTTCCTGAAAGGATAAAAGTAAGACGAATTTTTATTTCAGATACAAAAACATTTTCCGGATTTTGTACAGTAGGTCATTTCTGCTGGGACTATTCCTGCCTCAGAAGTGCAGTACAGTGGACCCCTGGTTAACGATTTTAATCCGTGCAAGAGGGCTCATCGTTATGCGAAATAATCGTTATGCGAATGAATTTTCCCCATAAGAAATAATGGAAATAAAATTAATCCGTGCAAGACGCCCAAAAGTATGAAAAAAATTTTTTTTTACCACATGAAATGTTAATTTTAATACACACAAACTGAAAAAGGCATGCACAATTAAATGACACTTACTTTTATTGAAGATCTGGTGATGATTGATGGGATGGGAGGAGGGGAGAGCATTATCTTCTTACTGTTTAGAAGGGGATCCCCTTCCATTAGGACTTGAGGTAGTAAGTCCTTTTCTGGGTTACTTCCCTTCTTTTTTTAATGCCACTAGGGCCAGCTTCAGAGTCACTGGACTTCTTTCGCACAAGATATCTGTCCATAGTGGCCTGTACCTCTCGTTCCTTTATGACTTGCCTAAAGTGTTTCACAACATTGTCAGTGTAATAATCACCAGCACGGCTTGCAATAGCTGTGTGAGGGTGATTTTCATCCATGAAGGTTTGCACTTCAAGCCACTTAGCACAGATTTCCTTTATCTTTGTAGTAGGCAACTTCTTCAATTTCTCTGTCCCCTCCTCTGAACCAGTTTCCCCAGGTCTGGCCTCTTGCTCTTGAAGTTGATCTATCAGCTCATCAGTGGTTAGTTCTTCATTGTCCTCCTCCACCAACTCTTCCACATCCTCCCCACTAACCTCCAACCCCAAGGACTTTCCCAATGCCACAATGGATTCCTCAACTGGCACAGGATTCTCAGGGTTAGCCTCAAACCCTTCAAAATCCCTTTTGTCTACACATTCTGGCCACAGTTTTTCCAAGCGAGTCAAGGTCCTCTTAGTCACTTCCTCCCAAGCCTTACCTATAAGGTTTACACAATTGAGGATTAAGTGATCTCTCCAAAACTCTCTTAGAGTCAGTTGAGTTTCTGAGGTCATTACAAGCACCTTTCAAACAGAGCTTTTGTGTACAGTTTCTTGAAGTTGGAAATAACTGCTGGTCCATGGGCTGCAGAGAGGAGTGGTATTAGGAGGCAAAAACTTCACCTTAATGAAGCTCATGTCCCCATAAAGTCGCTCTGCCACGTCTGTAGGATGACCAGGGCATTGTCTAACACCAGGAGGCACTTAAGTTCTAATTTCTTTTCAGTTAGGTAATCTTTCACATTGGGGGCAAATGCATGGTGTAACCAGTTATAGAAAAATTCCCTAGTGACCCATGCCTTACTGTTTGCCCTCCACAGCACACACAAATTATCCTTGAGGACATTCTTTTGCCTGAACGCTCTGGGAGTTCAGAGTGATCACATAATAAAGGCTTCACTTTGCAATCACCAGTAGCATTGGCACACATCAACAAAGTAAGCCTGTCTTTTCATAGGCTTATGTCCTGGAGTGCCTTTTCCTCCTGAGTAATGTAGGTCCTGCTTGCATTTTCTTCCAGAACAGGCCTGTTTCATCACAATTAAACACTTGTTCAGGTTTCAGTCCTTCAGTTTCTATGTACTCCTTGAATTCCTGCACATATTTTTCAGCCGCTTTGTGGTCCGAACTGGCAGCCTCACCATGCCTTATCACACTATGGATGCCACTACGCTTCTTAAATCTCTCAAACCAACCTTTGCTGGCCTTAAATTCACTCACATCATCACTAGTTGCAGGCATTTTTTTAATTAAATCCTCATGCAACTTCCTAGCCTTTTCACATATGATCGCTTGAGAGACGCTATCTCCTGCTATCTGTTTTTCATTTATCCACACCAATAAGAGTCTCTCAACATCTTCCATCACTTGCGATCTTTGTTTCGAAAACACAGTTGAACCTTTGGCAAGAACAGCTTCCTTGATTGTCTTTCTGGTGCCCACAATAGTAGCGATGGTTGATTGGGGTTTCTTGTACAGCTTGACTAGGTCGGCTATACGCACTCCACTTTCATACTTATCAATTATCTCTTTCTTCATTTCTATAGTAATTCTTACCCTTTGAGGTGTAGGGTTGGCACTAGAAGCTTTCTTGGGGCCCATGGTCACTTATTTCCAGAAACAGCACCGAAAATACTGTAATAATACGAAATATTCCGAGTGTATGCTTGGATGTTACCGCGGAGGCTGGCTGGTAAACAATGGGACGGCTGGCACATGTGAGGCTGGCTGAGGGCACATTGGACGCGTCTCGGACGAAAATCGGTAAGCGGGTTTTTAATCGGTATGCGCGGCAAAAATTTTGCGATAAAAGTAATCGGTATGCGGAAAAATCGCTATGTGATGCCATCGTTATGCGGGGGTCCACTGTATTCGTAGCAACAGCATGAATCTGTTGTTGGGGGAGGAGGTGGTCACGGAAGCCTGGAGTACTGAGGAAGCAGTCTGTGGCCCTGTACTGTGCTATACTGTGCTTGTACATATGAGGTATAAGCATGACAGTGGTAAGGAATAAATACATTTCGCTCACAGTTGTAACCTCCCACCTGTGCAGCCATGGTAATAATTGTTTGTCTGGGTGACAATCAGGTTCATCATGGGCTTGTCAAAGTAAAGCTCGAAATATTCTATGTGAACTTATTCGTGGTAGGACATTCTGAGAGAATGCCACTTCCACTGGCATCAAAATTGAAAGGATGCAACACAAATGTTGTACCGTCTTTCCAATTTCATTCCCAGTCTGATGGTGCATGGTGGACCTGTGGCATGGGGCATGGTGGAGAAGGGACAGGAGTGGAGGCAGCACATGGTGGAGTGGATTCTGGGTGGTCCTTTGTCTGCCTGCCCACCGTGCCACCCCCCCTCCTCCATCCCCGCATATTCCCCATCATGATCAGTATCACTATCAGTGGCAAGGGTTTTCGATTGTGACCTCCACAACAATTGAGGATTGCATATGTCACACTGCCCAAACATAGGCTACAATGCCTAAAGGTATGCTTCACTGGAGAATTACGTATATCACTGTCACTCATAGAATTCCCTAGGGGAATAAAATCACTCGTCGTTTCTGGTATCATTTTCACCATCAACAAAACTATGGGAAATTGTTTAATTTTCGCTTACATCATAGCCTTTGAGTAGTAATGCTGGCCACCCCAGACGTGGTGGGCTGAGGGTCATACAGGTTATTACCGATATTTTCAATATTTTTTTGATCATTCGAGGCCAATCCATCTCAAATCCACTAAACTTGGGTTCTATGTCACTTTCCTTGAATAAGAGTGTGTTTATATGAAAAGAGTTGTGATATTGATCCTAGATGGTGCTGAAACAAACTGGTGCTCCCATGTGGTGCTGCAGGGTCCCCAATTTTTTAATATTACACACACTGAGTGTGCAGACCCATTCTCTCATGTCTAAGCCTCTCACGCCCATCAGGCCAAAGTGAAGGCAGGAAAAATAGTGTATTGATCTGTCATGAACACTAGTAGTATAGCATATATCAATGGTTTGACTGTTAAGGGTTAAAGAATGAATCCAGCTTAATTTATCTGGAAAACTGATATTCAAGAGAACCAACATTAACATCAGCAGCATGCTGTTGAGCAAACTGTTTCTACAATGCTGTCTCAACCCTTGTATCTTGGGCAATTTCCATATACTTACCAGTACTAACTGAAAAATCTTTTAGGCTAGCATCTACACTGTGCTTCATGGCATATTGTGAAAGCTTTTCCTTGCTTCTGTGAATGTCAGACACTGTTTTGCTGCACCATATTCCTTACACACCCAGGTCACTGAAACCCTAGCCTCCAGCTTCCTTATTCATTCAAGTTTCTTCTGAACAGTTAAGGTCACATGCTTCTTCTAGGCACCATCACTTGCTTTAGAAGCCATTGTTAATAACACTGTACACAGTACTTCAATAAAATTATTAAAAACAGTAAATCCAGGGGAAATTGGAGATAAAATGAGTGTGAGTGCATGTGCAGACAAGAACACATTTACATGGGCAGTCACTGGCCCTGCTGTCCATGAGTAATGAAATTGGATGCATCCAGGATGAACCCTTGACTATACAAACTTGTGGTTAAACAGTTAGTCCATTTTAGAGAATGCACAACCAGACTGGATAGCCATTTTATATAGCAGATTTGGTCCATTTCATGGCTATTTTAATCAGACACCTCATAAAATGTACATGCTGATTATTATAATTACAATCAAAACTAAGCACTAAACTGACAAGGATCATAAACATACATGTTGATAATTTGTCTGGCCAGATTTTTTTTGTCCATTTAACTGACATCTGCTTGATGGGGTTCATTTCATCAGACTTTTACTGTATAATCTTATAGAAATAAATTAATTTTCATTCTCCCTCCTCGCCTTGTCTCTTTCCCCACCCCCTATTACTCATTCCATATAACTTTGCTACTAATGACCCAGCTTGAATCAGAATAATACTGTAAATGTAATGTATAATACAACTACATGTAAAATAAGCTTGGATGAAAAAATATTAAAAGGAATTATATATTTCTAACTTTTATGTTTGAGCAAATCTATTGCAAAATCCCTCAATGCAGCCCAAATAACTGGCATATACACAGATTAACTTACCCTTTGTGGGTTTGGGGACTATAAATGCAGATATTCCTTTGTGCTTTTTAGCCTTATCTGTTGTAGCAAAGACAATCGCTGCCTCAGATTCATAACCATTAGTGATCCAAGCCTTGGTGCCATTCAAGATAAAACTATCACCATCTTCTTTACCCACAGTTGATGCAGCACCTGCATCACTACCATTACCTAAAATGAATTTGAAATATAAACTTAAATGAAAATACAACTTGGCAATAGATATGAATTTAGATACAGTATATTGTGCATAGCGGGACTACAAAGACCACTTATACATAAATGAAAACAAAGAAAATGAAGTTAAAGTGTTAAAATAATTTAGAATGATTTGCTGTAGTGAAAAATAAAAATAAAATGCTACCAAAAAAAAAAAAAAAATATAAGAACTTTTCTGTCAAAATCTAAAATAATTTTCAAATTGATAAGAAATAACAGACCGGGTTCAGAAAGGGCAAAACATCCAACGCGTTCTCCTGTTGTAAAGGGTGTGATCCACTCTTCCTTTTGCTTGTCACTTCCAAATCCTAGCAGTGGACCCATATACAGAGAGTTGTTTTACACTCATTATGACCCCAGCAGTTGCACAACCTCTGGAAGGAAGTCTTTTTATAATACAGAGTACAGCCTCTCCTTACTTAATGATGGAGTTCCATTCCTAAGATCACATTGGTAAACAAATTCATTGCAAAATGAGGAGCATACTATAATGGTAGTGAGTTTGTGTCAACCATCTCTGATATTGTTTTTATGTTACCTTTGCACCATTTATAAAAATTTTTAGTATACAGTGGACCCCCGCCTTACGATATTAGTCCCCTTTCTGAGAGCTCATCGTAAGCCGAAATTATCGTAAGGCAAATTAATTTTCCCCATAAGAAATAATGGAAATCAAAGTAATCCATGCAAGACACCCCAAAGTATGGAATTTTTTTTTTAACACATGAAATATTAATTTTAATACACACAAAATGCAGAAGACATGCAAAATTACTACTCTACTAAGAAGAGAATACATGACACTTACCTTTATTGAAGATCTGGTGATGATTGATGGGATGGGAGGAGGGGAATGTGTGGAAGTTATTGTTTAGAAGGGGAATCCCCTTCCATTAGGACTTGAGGTAGCAAGTCCTTTTCTGGGGTTACTTCCCTTCTTTTAATGCCACTAGGACCAGCTTGAGGTACTGGACCTCTGTCGCACAACAAATCTGTCCATAGAGGTCTGCACCTCCCGTTCCTTTAAGATTTGCCTAAAATGGGCCACAACATTGTCAATGTGATAGTTACCAGCAAGGCTTGCAATAGCTGTGTTAGGGTGATTTTCATCCAAAAAGGTTTTGCACTTCAACCCACTTTGCACACATTTACTTAATCTTTGAAGTAGGCACAATGGATTCCACAACTGGCATAGGCTTCTCAGGGTTAGCCCCAAACCCTTCAGAATCTTTCTTAATTTCCATACTAATTCTCACCCTTTTTACCACAGTGTTGGCATTAGAAGCTTTCTTGGGGCCCATGGTGATTTAATTTTGCAGTTACAAGCACAAAAAACACTGGGATAAGGTGAAATGTACCGAATGTATGTGTGGATGCGACCGCACTGGCTGGCTTGTAAACACTGCTGCGAGGCCACACGTGGACGTGTCCCGGACAAATTACACAAGGCGAGTTTTTTATCGTGAGGCGAGGCAAAAATTTTGCATTCAAATGCTTCGTATGGCGGATCTAACGTAATGCAATGCGTTCGTAAGGTGGGGGTCCACTGTATTTTTAAATGTTTATACAGTATTGTACTGTAAATAGTAATAAACAGAATATAGAAAATCAGCTGTAATATACATTATTCAGGTATGCATACTAGTCAGAGAGCCCGTTGTAAGTCCGAGTCGTTGGTAAGCGAGTACGTCACTAAACGAGGAAATGCTGTACGTATTTTGAAAATACTGTAGGAATAGTCCAGTACCTCTGTGTTCTGTTATTGTGAGGATTACCTCTGCATAAATTCTTTTTCATGCAAATACATTATGTTTCCTACACAAGATACTAATATATACAGTGGACCCCCGCATAAACGATTGCATCACATAGCGATTTTTTCCGCATACCGATTACTTTTATCGCAAATTTTTGCCGCGCATACCGATTAAAAAACCCGCTTACCGATTTTCGTCCGAGACGCGTCCAATGTGCCCTCAGCCAGCCTCACATGTGCCAGCCGTCCCATTGTTTACCAGCCAGCCTCCGCGGTAACATCCAAGCATACACTCGGAATATTTCATATTATTACAGTGTTTTCGGTGCTGTTCTGGAAAATAAGTGACCATGGGCCCCAAGAAAGCTTCTAGTGCCAACCCTGTGGTAAAAAGGGTGAGAATTAGTATGGAAATTAAGAAAGATTTTGAAGGGTTTGGGGCTAACCCTGAGAAGCCTATGCCAGTTGTGGAATCCATTGTGCCTACTTCAAAGATTAAGGAAATGTGTGCACAGTGGGTTGAACTGCAAACCTTTATAGATGAAAATCACCCTGACACAGCTGTTGCAAGCCGTGCTGGTGACTATTTCAATGACAATGTTGTGGCCCATTTTAGACAAATCGTAAAGGAACGGGAGGCACAGAGCTCTATGGACAGATTTGTTGTGCGACAGAGGTCCAGTGACTCTCAAGCTGGTCCTAGTGGCATTAAAAGAAGAAGGGAAGTAACCCCGGAAAAGGACTTGCTACCTCAAGTCGTAATGGAAGGGGATTCCCCTTCTAAACAGTAAGAAGATAATGCTTCTCCCCTCCTCCCCTCCCATCAATCATCACCAGATCTTCAATAAAAGTAAGTGTCATGTAATTGTGCATGCCTTTTTTAGTTTGTGTGTATTAAAATTAACATTTCATGTGGTAAAAAAAAATTTTTTTCATACTTTTGGGCGTCTTGCACGGATTAATTTTATTTCCATTATTTCTTTATGGGGAAAATTTATTCGCATAACGATTATTTCGCATAACAATTATCCCTCTTGCACGGATTAAAATCGTTAACCGGGGGTCCACTGTACAAGTGTGAGTCTTTGTACCTGATGTGTAATGCTTAGCAGGTGCTGTATTAGTGAGCCTTTATGGAAAATCTATTAACTGTTTTCAGCTATCAATTTAGTGTTTTACATAATATATTATGCTGCTATTGACTGAACATTTAAACCCTTAAACGGTCCAAACAGATCGACGTTCAAATTCGTAGTGCTACAAAAGTAGATCTACTTTTTTTTAACACTTTTTCCCAAATATAAAAAAAAAAAAAATGAAGATAAAAGTTTTTTTTTACACGTTTTCACATGTAAAAAAAAAAAAAAAAAAAGATCTACATTTTTTTACATACTTTCAGATGTTGAAAAAACGTATATATACGTTTGGGCCATTTAAGGGTTAACTGAGTTTGTGTATCGTGTATATAATGTCTACCTCAATTCACTGTGCTGCTTTTCTACCCCAAAGAAGGTTTAAAGAATCGAGCATAGAAAAGTGCTCTACTTTAAGCATTTTGTAAGGAAACATTTGCTATTGTGTATGTATTGTATTGTATGTAGGATTAATGAATCAACAGAAGGTACAAATAGATATACAGCGCATAAAGGCACATGTCCAAAAACTACAAACCCCTGGCTGCAAAGGTGGCAAAAATAAGTAGATAACCCCTTGTGGAAGAGATGAAAAATCTTGCTGATAGAACAGATTTTAAGTCAAAGCTAAATGAATAAGAGAGTGGGTTTAAATTTTCTGAGGAAAGGAACAACAATTACACAATCATCTAAAGCATGAAGGCAGATCAGATGGTGCAAAGGATGGTGTAGGAAATGGGTGGTCTGACAGGCTTAGGGAAAAGCCAAACATTCTCAAACAAATTCACATAAAAAGACTGCTAATGCAGATCATGATGCTGCTACAAAGTTTCCAGATGATTTAAAGGCAGTGATAGTGGTTCAAAGGGTAAACACTGTTAACAGTAGGTGGGTTTTAAAGCTGACGAGATGTTGCTCCCAAAGGATATAATATGCAAAGCCTTTACTTCCCAAAGGGGAAGACAACATCTAGATTTAAAAGACTTTGTTTTTTTGTGACAAGGTGAACAGACATCTCAAGGGTAAACTTGATACTTCTGATTTTACCACCTTAGGATTATGCATGCTCAAAAAATCTAAAGAAGAACATGATACCAGTACACTAAGGAAAAAAAATGGTGGATTAAGACCAAAGGTTAGTGCTTCTAAAATGTAAAAAAACAAAATATTCCAAGCACTACTTCTTTGGTCAAAACACACCTACCTGATCACAAGTTACATTTTGAAAATCTACACTATAATAATTGGATCAGAACATTCTTGTACTACTACTACCACCACCTCTTCCTGCCTATATATAGCCGTCCTGCTCCTCTTCTGGTTAGTGTGACTTTGTAAATGGTCCAAGTCGGACCGAAATGTCGTCGTAAGCTTCTCTCTTTTATGTGCGGGTTATTTGTGTATCGTTCCAGTCATGGTATTGTGCCTTTTTTTTTGTTATCATTTTAACATTTGAACACTATTTACCTCTAAAGCACACTGAGTCACTGATGGTTCAAATAATCAAACACTGTAAATTGGGTGAAGCTACATCCAGGACATTAAGAACACATGGGATGAAGTGAAGATCACCATATAAAGGTGAGACCTAAATGTGTCCATGACTTCACAGGTTTTGGTGCATTTTTGCTTGAGTTGCACCTCTTAACATGACAAACTCTAGAACTTAGTAAATGCCCTTGAAGAGGAAAGATTTGATCAATTAGAAGAAAGTGATTTCAAAAGTAAGCTGATTGCCAAGGAATTATATTTGAAAGACAGTGCAGAAGAAAAAAAAAAAAGTAGCAAACCCACAAAAGATCTGGTGACCACAAAGAAGTTTCTTCATTCTCTTCACACTCACAGAACAGGCAGCCACAAACGTTGTGAACAATGACTCAATCTATAAAAGGAGATTAAACTTAAAGTAAAGCCTGAAATCACTGCTTGCTCCACACAGAAGTTGTGGGAGATGGTCGATATGTTGAAAAAAAAAAAAGTGTCTATGTATGTACTACACATATCACCATACTTTTTCTGCAGCCAAGTGCTCCCTCACTTAGAATATTGCTCAGTGCTGACGGCCTCATTCAGGGCAGGAGAAATATCGGAGCTGGAACAAATACAGAGATCGTTTACGGCTCACATTGAGCCAGTAAAGCACCTAAATTACTGGGAACGCCTGCAAGTCTTGAACATGTACTCACTGGAGCGGAGGAGAGAGAGGTACATGATAATATGTACCTGGAAGGTACTCGAGGGCTTGTTCCCAAATCTGCACACTGCCATAAGATACTGGAGTGAGAGATATGGGAGGAAGTGTAAAATAAACCCAATGAGGAGCAGGGGTGCGGTGGGGACAATAAGGGAACACTGTATCAACATCCGGGGTCCCAGACTTTTCAACATCTTACCAGAAGATATCAGAAACACTGCTGGAACAAGTGTTGAAGCCTTCAAGAGGAAACTAGACAAGTATCTTCACCAGGTGCCAGATCAACCAGGCTGTGATGGATATGTGGGGCAGCGGGCCTCCAGCAGCAACAGCCTGGTTGACCAGGCGAGCACCAGACGAGCCTGGCCCATGGCCGGGCTCAGAGACTAGATATACTCTCGAAATTCTTCAAAGGTATATCAAAGATAAAGGTAAGTATTGTATGTTTGGCAAAGATCTATGAACTGGGATAGTCTGAAGTGTGAATACAAAACTGGCAGAAATTTAATTCAAACACGGTTCTCTAAACTGCAAGAATTTTACCAGGCTTGACACTGATGTCTAACCATTAAGAGATTTAAAAAATATGGGCTTGTATAATAATCATTCTATCACATTTTCCTTCCTAAAACTTAGGAAAATTAATAGTACAAGTCAAATATCAGAGCGAGTGTCATTATTACAAAAATAGAAATATTAATTTTGTATAAAAATCAACAAAGCAGCAAGATTAAATGGAAATTGTTTGAATCATAGACAAGAAATGTGCAAAAGACAAAATACAGGAAGACAAATTTTCAAGATGACAATGAAAAAGAAATAGTCTGAACAGACAGAATGGTTTGAGACTGAAAAAGCATGCAATGCTGTGAAGTTATAATCTAGGTATCGGACAAACCAATGATGTTCTCACAAGATGTAAAAAAAAAATTAAAAGAGTAATATCAAAAGAATGCAATAACTTAAAATTGTAAAATTATTTTTACCTGCTAATTTCTTCCATGGCAATAGCATAAGCCAAATATCCATACCAGTCCCACCATACTCTTCTGGTACTACTAAGGCCATCAAACCTAATTCTCCATGGTTTTTACCTGTAACAAAGGATTACTATGCCAAGAAATTTTGATGTGATACAATAAGCTGTTCATTTAAAAAAAAAAAAAAAATTCTTTAAATTGAAGTGCTTACACTCAGGAATAATCAGCAACACAGTACGCTATATATAGGATGACAAGACAATTCAAGATTTGTAACTCTTATGTGAAAA